CCTGGGTTGGGCCTGGCAATCCAGCCCAACACAAGTGACCGTTGGCCCAGCACTGGGGTCTCTCTATAAATACCCTCTTCCACAAGAGGGTCAGGTAATTTACTTCTTACCCCTTTTTTGTGCTTGTGACCACTCTGCCCCTACTTACTTTGGCATCAGAGTGTCTTGCAGGTACACCCCCTCCTTCTCCTCATCACTGGTGAACATGTAGCAGTCTAACAGCGTGTGACCAGCCAGTGATCCCCTTCTGATCAGGTCAGATCAAATCCCTATCGATTTCTTGCCTTCTTTTCTGCTCCAATCCTTTAGAATATGGCTCTTTGCTAATAAAATTATGAACCCAAATGACTAAAAGTGTTTTACAATTTATAGAAAAAATTATGATTATGCAAAATTATGTCGCTCTTCACTAGTGGCGCGCCATAATTTTGCGATGTTGCCGACATGACATTTTTTGAATCATAAAAACGTATAAATTTGTAATATCTAGTGCGAAGCAACATTTTCAATGTTGAATTGTCTTTTTTATGCTCCAAATTGGTCCACTCTGCCTTGTTGACGCGTCACATTTTTGCTCTGATTTGCAATTTCTCTTCGTTTTCTTCTGTTTCATATGTGTGAGTCTTTTCATTCCTTATTCATCATTACTTCCATGGTAAAATACTACATCATTTATTTGATTAGGATGATTTAGGCACATATCGATATTTTCCACAATTATTTTGAAACTTTATTAAATCCTCTCAAAATGTAAGCGAATTAAAAGTATAAGCATTTAAAACAAAAGCAAATGGTACTAGAAATATGAAATGATGAACGATCTACAAGGCCATTTAAAGTATCATGACAAATTGATATACCATAAATACTGACTTATGGAAACATTATGGAGGCGAACATAGAGAACAAATCTTCATTTTAGTAGCGAAAACTTAAAGACCATTTATGTACTATTTGATTACGCATCCTTGGGAAATTTATTCACCTTTATAGGATAATTCCATAACATAATGCCACTATTTAATGTACCAATTCCACCCATTATGGGTTTGATGGATTTTAGACTAGTAATATGTTACGTTGGTGAACAACCACGGACTAAAAATCCATTTCACCGATGTAATGAATTGTTGATATTCAAAACTTATTCGAGAATCAATGTTGAGGCGAACCAAAAGCAACAATGGAGGAATTCTATGCTTCAGGTTTAATTTTAAAAATTTTCCAAAACCCCTTAAACAATATATGGCGCCAACCAGTTGTAGTTGGGGCTAGACCTCCTACACGAGAGTTGTTGGGTTCCAACCTCATAATTGATACAATCAAGAAGTACTTTGGTATTCATCTCTCATACAAAACTTAATACAAAATTGGAAATACATTAAAAGATTTTTCCATGACATATTATATTGGCCTTAACCCGGGGTTATGGCAATCGTCCTAATAAACTTTAAATAGCAAACAGATGAATAAATCATTGATTTCATTAAGTAGTTCACAATTAGGTTGATAAATGCTTAATTCAAATCTCTGATGCTGAATGTGCATCAATGACCATCAATAGAATGCATCCTCAACTAAAAGATAAATTGGTTGTGCATGCTTGCCATGATTTGAATGAATTGTTTTCCATATAAACATACATCAAACAACTCATTCAATAAAAAAACATAAGAAATTTGTTAATTGAGGAAGAGGCATTCATCTAGTCTCCATCATTAATATGTAAAACTTCAATGACGATATGTCGAATGATGCGATTGCAAATATATTAGCAATTGAGATCCAAAAAGAAAAAAAAAGTATGTCTCATGTCTTGTAACCTACTAAAAGAAATCACATTAGTTCATCAAAATATAATGTATACTATGTCTTTGATATCATGAAAGATTGCCAAACATTTGAATATATGCTTAAATATAAATGGATTCAACTATTATATGGTCACAAAATTTGTCCAACTGAGAAAATTAAAGGAAAAAGGTACAACAAGTGGAAAACTATTATAATTGTGCAACATTTAACTATTTGTTTTCTAGAAAACCATTAAGGAGGATATTAGGTAGACCGAGTTTAAGTTGGTTGGTAAGAGAATGTCAAAGATAACTGTTTATATGAATAGTTCCCTAACCATATGTATGGTTATGTTTTCTTTCTCACAACCTATAGGGCTGAAAAGGATTGTGAAGGATAAACAAAAGGTGACACAAGTTTGACAATTTAAAGTTAAATTAGTTGAGTTCCTGTAGGGAGACAAGAAGACGGACAAAACATTCATATTAGAAAAGATTACCACTACAATAGTCCCACTGCTTTGTGATTTTAAAAATGGAAAGTCGACCAAGGTTGGATGAATCACTTAGAAATAGTTAGACAATATGTTGTTATGCAAAGTTGCAGGCCATTTAAAAGTCCATAAATAAACGTTGGGAGGGGGTAAAATCAATTTGTTGATCTAATCCATATGTGTTCCACCTTAGCTAAGATTTACGGGGAACATGGGCCTAAATAAAAAAGGAGTGTAACAAATTTACCATGGAAATGATCTGGTTTCTCTTATGATCATTGTCATGGAAAATGGAAAGTTGACCAATCGAAGAATGGTAAAACCTCCAACCAATGTTCATGAAACACAACATGTATTAAATTAGAAGATGAAATTAAAAAAAACCTCACATAACCACCCTTATCATAAATTAGAAGATAAGGAAATGGAGAAATTATACTACAAAAGATGAAGTAAATTCTACAGCTAATTGTTAAAGTTTTAAACCAGATAGAAATGGAGATATCATTTCTTGGTGTCTTAGAAGTGCTAGACAAAGTGTTTCCTCTAGTAAAATAAGAGGTATAAATTGATAACTCAAGTGATGTAAAGTCCTCGACTTCTAAGGTGGAAAATGAGAATGTGAAAACAACACACGAGGTTGCTTATGAAGAAGTTGAAATTGCACTTAGGTTAAGCCTTATTGTCCCATAATTAATGATCACTGATCAATTCCTTTTGGCCTTGAAATCGCAAGTTGGATGTTAAAATTATGATATCGCCAACTTATTTCTCATAGTTAGACAACATAAAATGGGGAAATTGTCTTGTGGACAACAAATATTATATTTTGAATATCTTGTTCAATGGAGATACAAGTCATTAGTTTATTCCCTTTTGGGTTATAAGGCACAATTGAAGGAACTTTAAGTGGACATGTTTGAAAATACTCAATGGTCCATTGAGACTTATGAAGGGGATATGTTCTTTGAATATGGTTAATGGGTCAAATGGGCTTGAAATTCACTTTAGAAATGATTAAGCATCTAAAGTCGTTGATATCAAAGTTTCAATTAGTGGTAAGGTGATCAATCATGTCTTTGTGGATGGGATAATTTCCTAAATTGATGTACTCTCTAATGTAAAAAAGTTTGGGAAACATAGAAAACTCAGTTCTAGTCAATAAGAAGATGATTATGAAGGTGAAAAATACACAATATGAGGGTTGAATTATGTTTGAATTTCTTTCTTTTTAAAGCTCTTGTCAGATTCTAAACACAAGGTAAAGAATCAGAATCAAATATTAAGGTAGGCAGCAGATAAATAATGTAAGAAAGAAGAGAGACACAAAGAGTTATCATGATTTTCTCACAATTCGAGAGTAATCCAAAACCTTTTTCACTATAATCACACGGGATTACAATTTGCTCAAACCCACAAGCAAGAGACTTCAAATACTCAAACACTCAGTAAGAGACTTTTATGCTTAAGCACGCAAACAAGAGACTTCTAATGCTCAAGCACATAAGTAAGAGACTTATATGCTCAAGCACACAAACAAGAGACTTTAAATGCTCAAACACTTACTAAGAAACTTCTAACAATCTACGTAATAGATAAAAGATTGTTTGAGGTAATACACTTGATATACAATAAGGAGTGTAGAAAGAATACAATGCAAATATAATCTTTAAGACTTAAGGATTTATAAGATATACAAGGATAAAAATCCTAAGTTTTACTTATGATTTGTTTTGACAGAGTAACTTTTCTTTGGATGTCAATGGATCTATTTGGTTTTTCAAGTCTTCGGCTCCTTAAATAGAGAAGGAAAAGAGTCGTGGGAGAACTTGCACTTGAGAGTCTTTGAGAAACGTGAATAGAGATACTGTGATGTTTCTTTATATAGTTAAGATCGTTGAAAATTTATTTGAAATCTTTTTGCTATAAAAGAAATTTTCAGTTACATCTCAATTGACTCTATGAGAAAATAGAGCTCAGGTCTTCACGTAACAAAGTAGAATCAAAGTTAAACAATAACTTATCAAAATCACTTTACTCCTTACGCTTTGACTAGCTCAGTTTATAATCTTCAGAAACAACCTAACTCAAAACACAAACATGCATTAGTAAATAAAATATAATTATGATAAGGACGATGACATAGCTTATATAATATGTCGTATTATTTATAGTAAAAATTAAAAATTTTTTTGGAAGAAATGGAAAGCTTACTTGATAGAAGCCAGTAGAAGTTTGTTCAAAACTAGAAAAAGCTTGCGCACAAGTTTTCAAACACATACTATATATTTTGGTATAGTAAAAAAGTTTAGTACAAAGGCATTTTAGTATTAGTGCTAACCTATTATTTGTATATATGATTTTTAATTAAAAATTAAACTTTTTAAGATTCATTATCGATGCGACTTTTGGGAATTGGGCCGAAGATGATGGACCAAGTAGTTAGCATAAGGCCCAATAAGAGGGACCCACCATCCATGCCGAAGGCTTCTCCTCTAAGCCATTTCCCATTCCCACCAAAAACACAAAATAATTTCTCATTTTGCCCTTCAAAACCCGCCATGTGGGGTTTCTCTTTCTCACTCTGATTTTATTTCCACGGCCCCGCCAAGCTCGTCGAACAATCCACGGTTTTCATGAATCTAACCTAATACGAAAAATCATTCCAACTTCGCGCGTAACTTCACTCTTGTTGTAAAAACGGTTCTACGATATGCCAAAGCGAAACTGCGTCGTTGTTCTCTCATCGGATGAGGAACTTGATACTCCCAAAACTCGTTCATCTAGTTCGGCCCGTACGAATCCCAAGCCCAAGCCCAAGTCGAGTTCAACGGGCTCCAGAGGAAGAAAGAAAGCCCGTGTTTTCAGTTCTGCGCCTCGTCTGTCTAAGCTTCATGAGGTAATGTCAATCAATCTATTGGCTTTGGTTATTCATTTTATTGAATTGTCGCTGTATTTGAACGGTAGTTACTCCCATTTGTGTGACGTGTTTGTTAGCTTAGTTCTAACTGCATTCTTTAAGATGACTAAAAGGGGAAGAATATCATATGATGAGTGACTTTGTTTGATTGCAGATAAACTTGTTTGATGATGATTTCAATGAAGTGTTTACTAGGTCAAAGGTATTCGCTGGTATGCTGTTTCTGTGTTTTTTTTGTTTAACATGCATTTTTGCTTTTATATGAACTTGAGAACTTAGTTATCAAGTATATAATTGGTAAGAATTTTTTACTATTAAGAGTAGTGGCCTTTTTATGACTGATGGTTCATGGAAAATACCCCATTTCACCTCTCTGCCCAAGGTGGAGCTTAATGCTTTTGGGTATTTTTGCAATTTCTCCCTATGAAGCACGACACTGATAGTGACATGTCGACACCGGTAATAATTTGAAAATTGAATAAATTGAATGTATTCACAAGTGTTGGTGTCGTGTCGGTGTGTGATGCAATCATGCCTTTTTTAGATGTTGGTGCTACATATATTTCTCCTCATTTGGGAGCTTTTTTTGATTTCTCACTCTTTCTTGACCAGACTAAATGTATGTTTGGTTTACCGTCAAAAACTTGACGTTAACTGTCTACAGAGTTCTTGTGGAATGAATGCTCATTCAAACATAAATCATGGCACCTTCCTTCATGTCTGCCCACTGTCCACAGTTATCTGGCATTGTGCCGTAGCATCTGGCAAACCCTTTGTTGATACAAAGCACAGCTTAGATTATGTTTGTTTCTGTGTGGGTATCCTACTACACACACTACAAAACATTTGATGTGACCAAATTTTTTTGCCTTGGTCTTTAAGGGTCTTGAAGTGGTTTTCGATGCGATGTCGAACATTCCATACCTTTGAGTTGTGATCTTTATTCACACTTCACAGCCTTTAATTTGTCTCCTTTTTTCTGTCCAATTTCTTGTCTCATTTTCCAATCACACGTTTTATTGTTTTGGTTTTTTTATTCTAGTCTTTTTTGGATTTCATTCCTAAGCAGCATTAAAGTGATGCGATGGATATGCTCAGGTCTCTTAAACATGTGATTTTGAGCCGAACAGAGCTAACATTGAGTGCCTAAATTGAGTCGGACAAAGCTCATAAATAATCAGAGGCAAGACACCTTCACAACCCACATTTGCCTTAGCATTCACACAAGAATTTGCTTACGGGTAGACCAACAATTTAAAGAAGTAGCCACCATCTTGGAATATACATGAAGTTCTACCTGGATTATACCTTGAGAGCAAGCCAACTCCAAACCTTATAACACACTCCATAACTCTGCCACATAAGCCATGGAAGAGCCCATGAGCTTGGAGAAGCCTCAAATCCAATTACCATTACTCCTGTAAGACACCACTGTAACCAACACTACCATTCAATTCCTTGATTTAAAGCGCATAGAAAGTCACAGCTGGAGAGAAGTCTCCGCATTTGACGCTTCAGAATTAAGGATATTTTGGAAAGATAAAATATGTAGTACTGTTTCAATGGTTCCTTTTCAGTTTGTTATTACTTGCTAAGATATGGACTATATTGATTGTTGAAACACTAAGATTTGTAAAACAGGCCTAAGTTGTTAAGCAACTTTTTGAACTAAATTTAAAAGCTTACATTATGCTGTTTCCTCCAGTCATTGTGCCTCTGAATCTTTATCTTTGTTCCTTGATCTTACAAATCATAAGTGCTGAATGGATGTGCCAGGTACTCAACAGAACACTGCAGAGGAGCTATGGGTTGATAAATACAAGCCTCGTTCACTGGAAGAGCTTTCTGTTCACAAGAAAAAGGTCAAATATCTCTTCCATGAGTTCTGGATACTGGTTATATGAATGCCATCCTGTTTTCACTTTTCCCTGTTTGTTGTATTTGCAGGTTGAAGAAGTTAAGACGTGGTTTGAAGAAAGGTTGAAACCTTCGAAGGTAATTATTAATATAGGAAAAATACTATATAACTTTTATCAATTTGTTTGTGTCTTATGATTATTCCATTGGTTTTCACCCATTATAGAATTTATATCCTTCTAGAGATTGTTATTTACCTATATTTATAGACATGTAAAATAATAAACTATATCATGGTCAAATTATCAATATTTAAGAATGTTTGGTTCTTTGATTTCCAATGACGTTGTGAAAGATTTTGTAAATTATCTATAATAATATGTTGTTATTATATAAAAATGATTTTGATTCTTAGGTAATAGATTCTTAATTTTTCCATAATTAGCTTCCCCCATACTCTTATTTTGGCATGATGTGTGAGGCTGTGAGCACTATCATTTTGTATAAACACTATTACAAGAATTAGACATCTGTTTACAACAATTAGACAGGATAATTTTTCATGTCTCTGAAAGAAGAGAACATCGTCATTTATTAGTTTTTGGTTTACTAGTTCTCCTAACTCCCAAGTATTTACTTAGTTACGGAGTTGAAATTTCTAGAGAAAATTTTCTCTCCGTGCAAGGTTATACTGATACAAGTGAATGTAAGTCTTTCCCTGCACTTTGTGTGTGTGTATTGTGAGCTTATTTTTTCTCTGTTGTTTACAGGGTGTCTACAGAAATAACGTTCTTGTTGTTAGTGGGCAGGCAGGAGTTGGAAAATCTGTATGTTACTCTTCCATTATCTTCTAGACTCTTAACACCGTTAACCCTCTTTCACGTCGTAGCACAGTCACACAGGACAATTTAGAATGATAATAATCGGTACATTCAAGATCATGTGGCTTTTTGTCGGTAGTTTTTCTTTTATCTCTGTAGATGCTTCTATATTTTTATTCTTAGTTTCTTTCACGCAGATTTTAATTCAGTTATCCTAGAATTTCTACTTTTCACTTTTGTAGACTCTGCTTTATCTAAAATAACGTTTAAAAGGCTTTTTAGTTATAATATTGTCATGAAGAACCACATCTTAACATAGCTTTACTTTGTTAGGATACCCATTGATTGACATTGAAGAGTTTCTTCTTTTGATTGTGTAGGTTGCTATTCATGTAATTGCTTCTCATTTAGGTGCGACAGTATGTGGATGGAACACACCTACACCTGTAATTTGGCAAGAGCATCTTTATAACTCTGGAACAGGTGGGCCAAGAATATGCTTTTGATGAAATAGTTATGACAAGCTCCACTCTCGTCCCCTTTTCCTATTGTATAATCTGTTTTTACTGTTAAATGATGAGTCCTTGAGGATTTATTATCCAAATGAGTAAATGATTACATCCATTTTGTTTACAGTCCAAATGGGAAAATGCATAAAATAATTTTTTAAGGAAAATCTCATATCGAAATTTGTAACTTCCTTGCTGAGTTGTGACCGTTTATTTCTTATATATTTTTTGATTGACTGACAGCGACAAAATACACTTCCAAGTTGGATGAATTTGTTAGTTTTGTTGAGAGAATACGGAAATATGGATTAATACCAACTTCGTTTACCGGGGAGTCAAAGCCTTCCATCATATTTTTAATAGACGATCTTCCCATGATGCATAGTAAAGCTGCTTTAGGAAGACTTAAAGATTGCTTGCACCTTTTGGTGCACACAACTCAGATACCCACAGCCATATTGGTGACAGATTATGGCAATGCTGATTCAGCTGATTATAATGCACGATCCATTGAAGAACTTAAAATATCTCTAGAACGTTCTGGGGCTTGTAAGGTTACTATTACCTTGAAGAATTCTCGTGGTTTTCGATTTCATGTTATAATAGAATACTTATGCTTAAACTTAATTGGTGAAACTTTCAGGTTGCATTCAATCCTATTACAGTTAATTCTATTAAGAAGGTACTTTTTAGAATATGTCAAATTGAGCAGTGTGATGTGACTGCCGACCATGTTGATCTAATAGCAAAAGCAAGTGGAGGTGACATCAGACATGCAATTACTTCTCTACAGTTTTTCTGTGTGAACCCAAATCAAGTGCATTGTTTGTCTCTATCAACTCGCACTCCTCATGCATTAAAAGAGGAAAGTAATAAACCTGTAGAATTAGATGATGGATCTTCTTTGTACTTTGGCAGAGATGAGACAGTATCTTTATTTCACGCCTTAGGGAAATTTTTGCATAATAAGAGGGAGACTGGAGTTGCAGCAGAATATGGTACTGATTCATAAATAATTTAGTCAAATTTAAATTTCATATATTGTCTTACTATATGGAGGAAACAGCAGTGGACGTAAGTTTAAGTTGAGTATTAAGATAATTTTATCATGCACCATTTTAATTATAGTTCATTTTCTTACGGGCTAGACCAAAACAGCTTTCTCATACAAGAAAGATTTTCAAGATTACCTTTAAAAATGGATGTCCCAGAGAAGATTCTTTGTCAAAGCCATGTCCAACCTGGCCCAGTTGCCGATTTTCTGCATGAAAATGGTATTTCCTTTCAACCTGACGTTAGTTTTCTTTGTGAAAAATTGATTATAGTGAAGATATTTTTTTTTTCTGATTTTAAAATTTCACTAAACCCAATACAGTGATTTTCTAATTCTTGTCAATATCTTGCAGTTCTAGATTTTTTGAATGATGAGGCGGTAGAGGATGCATGGATTTTGTCTTCATATCTAGGTGATGCTGACATTCTTCTTGCTAAGCTTCGGGGTATGCTATCTAGTTATAATGAGGCAGAGAGTATTTTACAGTCAGCTGCTGCGTCAATTGCTGTTCGTGGGGTGCTGTTTGGAAATTCTCAGCCAATTTCTTCCAGGTAATCACTTATATGCATGCAGTTTTCTCTGCAAAGCAAAACTTTATATTTCTTTGTAATATTTTATCATTTTGCTTTTACAGGTGGCATGCAATTCGACGACCAAAACTCTGGCAGGTCCAGAAAGAATCATCATACTACAAGGTTAAAAATTCATTATGGCTCCTCCTGTAATATTTATTATCCTGCAATGTTTCAATTTCTATTTCATGTAGGTAATTATAAATGATACGTTTCAGTTTAACTTTGGAGACAGAATCGTTTTCTAGTTTGGCTATGATTATGCAGCCAAGGATTCTGTAGCCAAATGTAAATTGGTAAATTGGTTTCATAATTAACATTACCTTGTAAATTGCTCATGTTTTTTGTTACTCTCAACATTTGGTTTCTCTGTGATCTTTCATTGCAGAATGAGATGTTTAGGCAGAGAATCCCTGCTTGTAATCAGCTGAGTTCTTATCATATGTCAGTTATTGCCACAGAATACACGCCTATGTTTAAATTGCTCGGAAATAGGGTTGGCAGTGGATATAATGAACTAGATCAGGAATCAGCGCAGAACTTGGATATGGAAGATTTTGATACTGACAAAATGAGTTTAGATGGTGAAGCAATGGAGATTTCCGATGATGACATAGAAGACTGGTAGTCATGTAACATGTATTGTACAAGGCTCTTCAGTTAGCAGACCTGCCCCTTCAGTGTTTCGTAATTTGTTAGACAGTTATTTGCTCTTTTTATCTTCAGTGTTGATTAAAGCTGAAGTGTTTCTTAGGGAATGGCATGTTTTTGTGTGAATATAGGAGTTTCTCTGATGCATGCTTGATTACAAGCCAAATTGTAACCGGTGTTCTCAGATCTTGATGGAAGTATGGATCTGGGACACAAGTGCTTAATGAGACTTGTTGCTGTAAATACCAACTTTGTTACTGGAGAATCTCATCAAAGTTCGAGAAATGCGATGAATTAACTTTCTTTTGTTTCCTGAGAATCTTATACCACTACTTTGTTTTGTAATTCAATGTGTTTGATTTTTAAAATACATCAAATACAGAGGGCTAAATTACACTATTAGTTTGCGTCAGGGCCGAAACCACTTGTTCAGATGTTTAAAATACATTTTATTGTGAGACTTCAAAAAAACACAAGATAAAGAAAAGTAAAATAAATAAAATCTTGCTAAAACAAATATAAAAACTTGTGATATAGAAGATATCCAACTTGGTTGTTACTAGCAATTATTTAGTGGTTTTGGTATTTGGACCGGTTTTGGTTTGCAATTACTTGTATATCACTAATTAATTATGAAGGGCTAAAAGAACTATATATTAAATGAATTAAAGGTATATAAAATGCCCTAGATGACAATTTACAACCAAATATCAGAAAAAGTAACATAACAATACAGCATCAGCACAAAAAAACCAGAATTACATAAACCTAACTAAAGGCTTAGAAACACCTAAATATACTAAACAATAAAAATTCAATGGTCACAGCCTAAACAGATCAAATTACAATATAAGAATGCACTAACATAACTCGACACCAAAACCAACAAGCTGAAAACAGAAACATTACTCCAATTGGAAGCAGCCATCAGACAAACTATCAATCTAACATCCTTTTCTCGCAGCTTATGATCCTCAATTCTGACATAGACCACCACTAAAGCCCCAAATAGAACTCAACTTGACCTTCTCATGCATTTCCTCCTTGATCCATCTTGGATTCCTTCTGCCCTATCCATGATGTAACAGCTGCACCACCCAAAACTGTACCAACACCTGAACCTAAAAGCAGTACACCACAAGGCAATACAACCACCTCATGACAACATTACAGAAAAACAGAAGAAGTACTGCTTCATTTTCGAAAGAAACGGTTCCAAAAATATGCTCTGCAACCACAAAGCGCGAAAGTTCAAGACTGACAGCAAAACAAACTTCAACACCAAACAATTGACAAGACAGGCTACACGAGTATCAGCACGGTAGGGACGATAAAATCATGGGATTGTGATGCCAGCACATTCTTTGGATTCAAAAACCACACGGATATGTCGTCAGATATCATTTTGATTTAATCTTAAGTCATTCCCAAGTCACAATTTTGCCTCTTCAACCATATTTTTGATATGAATTTTCTTGTTTTGGAAAACTTTATTGTTCTTAGATATCTAAATGCTCCAAATGCAAGCGAATCAAATCACGCCAATTTCAAAGATAACGATCTTCCTTTCCCTAGCAGACTTTCAAATTGATCCAAGTGTTGCTACCCATCATTATGTAAAGCTGTAATCACGCCAATCCATTTACACATGGAACTCCATAATCCCTGCAAAAATTGGACATAAAAAAATGTGAGACCGACTCCTCTCATACCATATACCCCTTCTTTCAAATTTAAATTTCCACTCCCACTTTCCTAATAGTGCAATATTGAAAAATAAATCCTCAAGTTTCCCGAACCCCTCGCCAATCGGCCTACACACCTCCCATTTAATCTAAATATTTTTTTCCCGCCTCCCCATAAAAATTGTTTAAAAATAGATTCTAATTTAGAAATAGATTCTATTTTTTTTGAGATGAAAACTAGGCTCATAAGGCAAGCAACAGTTGGAAATGAAGCACAAAGGACAAACCTTTTTACAACATAAAGGAATTAGTTTCAAAGATCAATTATTCAAGTTAATGTGCCTCTTTTAGAAGACAAACAAATAACTACATCATAACAATTAATTGAGTGAAGGAAGACTCCAAAATACAGCTGTAATGAAGTAATACATGGAATGAAGTTTAATGGAGACCAAGTTCATCTCCAATCTTACACTATAGTGTTATTCAAAAAACAAAAAACTAGTATTACTCAAGCCTTGGGACTCAAAGATAATGTAATATCTTCAAAAACCTTAAGCCTCCTCTTGTCAGATTTTTTAGTCAAAATCCCAGAAGTGGTGGTAGTAGATTCATTGGACTCGTTTGAAGACCCCAAAATAGAAGACAGAATAGCATCTTCAAAATCCTTAGTATCAGGTAACAAATCACACAACTTATTCTTCTCAAACGAAAGCCTTCTTGCTTTGCTTCCAGGCACAGGCACACCTAATTCTGCAGCATTCACCTTGCTCATATCATTCACTACTCTCATTGATCCTGCAGCATTTCCGGATCTTGTTCTCTTAAGTGTCTCTGAGAAATTCAAATTCTCAGTTGACTCCTTCAAAGAGGTTTTTGGTGCTGCATAAAATGGTGGAGCCGCAACATTAAGTGAGTTGTTGTTGTTAACCAAAGGACCAAACTTTGATGTTTGGTTTTTCACTATGTTGGAATTAACGTTTTCATCACCAAATTCATCTTGAATTGTTGTTGTTGATGCTGTTGTTGTTCGGATTGGTGGCAAACTCGTGTGGACGTGATCCTTACAAGGCTGAGGTTGCCAAATTGATGAAGAACCAAGAAAAGCTTCAAAGAGCCTACTTTGTTCAACCCTATCAACTCCTCCTTTGTTCATCATTTCGGATTCGAGATCTTTGAGCATTTGTTGTGCTCTTTCATAGGCTTTCAGATGAGAATCTGAACCTCTTGGCCCATCTGTAACTGCAGGTTTGACTCTATGCAGATTTTCCTTTGCTTCAGAAATTCTTCCTTGTTTCATCAAACAAATTCCTAAATTGCACATTTTGTTGTTGTCCGGAGCTAGCGTAAGCGCACGACGATAGGCTTCTTCTGCTTCAACGTAGTTGTTTTGTTGCATCAGTGCCCATCCCAAGTTTCCCTTCATTTACCAACAAAATTCAAATATCAAGTTCCATACTACGGAAGTAAAATAAAGATTAAAATTGAACACGACACCAACACCGAACACATAACACAGCCGATGAGTATACATTTTTTAAAGAAATGTCCATACTATGGAAGTAAAATAAAGATTAAAACTGACCCCGAAAGTGACACCGACACCCCGAACATATAACACAACCAATAAGTATACATTTTTTTCAAAAGTGTCGGTGCTACAGAGTAAAGAGTTAGGGATTAAAACAAAATTAAACTGTGTGTTGCTTAGCTTACCAACAATCTAGTGGCTTCTTGTTCCACTGAGACTTGAAACTTCTTCCCTTGAGATCTAGCCGTCTTTGTGCGTTTGCCGTTGAAAGCCAACCCTTGTTGGATTAAATACAGCTTGTGCCTCAATAGAGCAATTTGGTCATCAAGTCTCCCACATCTCTGTGTTTATTAACAAAAAAAATTGAATTTAATCAGAGACCAAAATCGCATTTAACTCTGAGATAATAATAAAAATTGGTGTAGAATGATTGACCTTGTAAAGATCCAAAAGGATATTATCAAGGGATTCTTGTGCTTGATCCGAGCATCTAATTCTAAGTGATTTAATAGCTTCAATGGCTTCTTCAGCCCTATTTTGTTGCTTCATAACAATAGCCATATCTTTCAAAGCACTATCCACTCTATCTCCCGCATTTATCGCCGCCCAAAACAACGGAATCGCTCTCTCCGGATCCTTATCCACCAACTAAACATCCAATAAAAATACCCATTTAGTTGAAGCATTACAAATCTGAAGAACAAACCAAAACAAATCCAACAGGGAGACTTACCTGAACGTTTTTGGCTCTGACATAAGGAGAGTCCCCAACAGGAACCTTATGAGTGATGTGAAAAGATTCCGAACGAGTTCTAGAAACGCCGAGAGGTTTGGCAGGTGAAGAAGGTGCAGATTTCGATGGTCTGAAACCTGGAGGAGCATTCCACATCTCTTGCAACATTGTCAAAAAAAATTGCAAGTTGTATTGTTGGGAAAAACAGAATATGTTCCTGCGGGAAACAAAAAATGGACAGTGTTGTCGAGAAAGAAAAGTGAGATTTGAAAGAAGGTTTGAGGTTTTTAAATTTACACAAAGTAGCCGTTAGAAATAAGTAGCCGTTGGAAACATAATTGGTATGAATATTGGGTTTATTATATTACCAAATTTGTTGTAATGGGCTTTTCGTTAACATTTCTTGATAATGGGCTTACTTTTAAAATGCATTTTTGTCTCTTATTTATGTTTATTTTTAAAAATATTATTTTGCTATTTAAATTTTATAAGCTCGACTTCTTTTTTTTCTTAAATAGTCAATTAAGTTTCTGATTTTATTTTTTAATTTCAATTCGATCCATTAATTTTTAAAATTTTAAACTGAATTCTTTATTTTTTTTGACTATTTTGAAAATGGTATCTAATCTGATAAGTAAAAGTTATAACAAATGTGATTTTGTTTGATTTTGAAAGGGAAGAAGGGATAATAGTACTTATTGTTGACAAAGAGAAATCATCTTAACGGAGAAAACAATCTTAATTTGAAAAATTATTGCCAAAACACCAATTTTTATATTTTTAGAAACAACCACTAGAGTGTTCTATTTTAAATCAAAAATTTTAATTTATTTATTTTTAAAATTGGAATTATGAGGTCGTGCTGATAATAAAGAAGTGAAAAAATAATTTTTATTTTTAATTAATAAAAATAATTTAATTGATTGTTAAAACTCCATGTTAGTTTTTATCCTAGACTTTTTTATATTATCTTTGTGCCCTTATATTTTTACACGTATATTTACTTTTTAAGGATATTTCAATTTAAACTATAAATTCATTTGAATTTTTCCTTAAAATTATATATTTAATTATTTTAAAATTTTAATCTTTGAAAGGATGATTTAAAATGATTTATTTTTGCAAAATCAAACATATCCAAACCCTATCTTTTATACAAATGACCCAAGACGAAGATTTAAAATGATTTTCTTTTGCAAAACAAAATAATACTATCAAAACTCCTATCTATTAAAATGATTAAATAGTATCTTTTTATACAAATCACTTTTATGCAAAGATATCCAAATATAACTCACATTTAATCAAAATCAACTATCCAAATCAATTCATTCAAAAACAATTATCACTACCGCATAACCAAAATCACTTCTATGATTAGGTCTTAAGGTCCCTATCAATCAACTTGTATGCTGCCAAAAAAAGGACAAAATAATTAAAGTTCAAATTGAAATGTATCATCCAAATATTCTAAAATTGGTAAAATCACCTTATTTCGCCTGATTTTACACATTTAAGTATGAACTTCAAGTTAAAACACATAAAATCAAATCTAGATAAAATAAGAGTTGAACTCGATTTTATAATAAACTCCTTAAAATAGGTCAAATATCAACTACACTGCCCGAAAACTGTCTGCTTTATCCAGTCTTGCTGTTCCTGAACTGGACGACTCGCCCATTGTCTCAGGAGATGCTGCGGCATGTGTTGTTTCCCTGTTTAGAGAAGTTGGCATACCTGAAATCTCCTGAAAATGATTATAATAACTACAACAAGTTAGCGAGCACGGATCAATGAGATCATGAACAAGCTAGTTTGATGACAATCCCTTCATCTTCCATATAGAAATGTCATAAGACAAATAAACAAAGGCGGTAACTGAGGAGTTTTTTGTGAGAAAATAACAGAACTTTGTTTCAAACCTTCATTAAATGTAACCTCAAATCACATGGTCGAGTCCTACTTCCAACCCTCGCAATCACAAATTTTGAATAATTGTCCAACGTGTCGGCAGCTGCTTCCTTTTTGAAATCTAGCTGAAACCAATTTCAGTTCTTTCACATTAATATCCGGATAGAATATAAACAACCCCAAATCAAGTAATAAATAACACTGAATTTATTGAAGGAAACAAAAATTTGTTCTCTCAACAAAACCATAGGTAACTTCCAATTTCTTTGAAGTTGCTCAAAATCAATTGTGTTTGCCATATGCTCAAGTCAAGGGATATTATATGAAATGAGACATCAAACAAAGCCTCGATTTCTAAACTGCCAGTTAAATACCCTAAATTTCCCAATTTATATCGCCAAAAATGATGTCTTTGCATGGAAAACAAACACCAATAAACTCAATAAAAGTCCAAAATCAAATCAGGGCAGTGTTGTCTATGGCGGATGGCAGATAGCGGAAGCAAAGCGGACAAACTTAAAAACAGAATTCAAAAAACATAGGAAAGAGAATTATATACAGAGAAAACTAGAATTCATATCTCAAGTTGTTCAAAATATACAGTTTAAGGTAAATAAAATAGATAGCGCATGCCTCAGAGTATCAGAAAAAATACAAGTAGAATAAAAAAAGCCTTAGTGATTAAAATGAATCATTTTGACAAATAAATATAGAAAACAAAATTATATTGAAATTATATCGGAAGTAATCACTACAGCTTTTATTGCAGGTTTTGCAGCCATAATCCGCTTTATGGCGCCACAACGCGGCTGAGATGGCAGGATTTTGGCTTTTCCCCCATGGATCGCCATCGACAACACTGGCCTCAAGATTCAGTATTAATAAACATAAATACAGTTTGATTATTTCTATATAAAATCAATAAATTTGAAGACAAACAATAAGTAATCCAAATATGTTAAGATACATGAGATATTCCAAACAGAAAACACAACCTTGCGAAGATGCAGGAAAAATACACAAGTTGGAGTATTGGGGGTTTGAAGATAAATAGAGTTGAAGATAAATAGAGTTGAAAAGAAAGAACCTCTTGATCTTCTTTCATGGCGGAAACCGGAAACCACCGCAAAAATTGATTTGATCTCCCTTCTTATCCTTCTGTTGAGCTTAGTTGAAGAAGACCCTAATGATAATGGTGAAGAGACAAAGGACAAAGGACTTATCCTTCTCAAGGTAATACTATTTTATAAACCCATTGAATCAAAATGAATCATTTTGACAAATAAATATAGAAAACAAAATAAATACAATTTGTTTCTCATACTGTTGTTGTCTTGTTAGTATCCTTGCAATTTAATATTTTATTAGGACAAAATTGGTATAAATTGTAGTGTGAAAGAATAAACAAGACAAAATAAAATTAAATTGCAATTGTTATCTATATTTGAACTAGTCATTTTACAATACATATATACTATGAACATTAGACAAATATATAATCTAAAATGTTGTAGTTTATTCAAGAATAAGAGAAAATTGCATAAACGAACCTACATAAATTCTAATATATGCTTAAAGCTTCTCAAATCACCATTCTTTACTGTAACTTGAAAAGATTTTTAACTCTTAATCCTCAAATCCCTAAATTAAAGTTTGGGACTCACTTACAGTTTGGAGAAGCAAATCCAAAATCAGATCTGCAAGAGAGGCTCCGAAGGGAAGAAATGAAATAGGAAATGATTATGCGAGAGTCTGACGACGGCGACTTGGTGGAAGATGAGAGAAAATTGGCACTTTGTTCGATCTAGGTTTTATGAGCCTATCCAGAATACGTGTGGCAGCACACTCATTAAATTTTTTATATTATATTTCCTTTTAATATTTTTAAACAACTCAACTACATTTTTAAATATCTATACAACTCATCAAATACTCTAAAATGAGTCTCACCAAATCTCACAATATATCCAACATTTTAATTATATAAATAAATAATTGAAACAATTTAATTCAAATATATCAAAATACATTAAAAATATTACCTTTGAATTATTTAAATTATTAAATTATTAAATTATTTACTAAAATATTACCGTTACAAAGTATTTCAATTTAATATTAAAATTCCATCAAAAGAAAATATTACCGTTACATTTATTATTATTGTCCAGTATTTATTATTCTTGTCCAGCATGACATTTGTAAAACGTTAGCAAACGTTGGCACATGTAGAACTTTAATATTTTATCAAATATCTATTAATACTGACATGCAACACTTTGTAAACTGTGTAGAACCATGAATATTTGACTGATATTTATACTCTAACATATTTGGTTTTTGGTGTAGCTTTTTTTTAAACAAATTTATCCTTATTTTAAAATATATAATTTACACAATAATTTTCATTAAATTATTACTTTTATCTTTCATATAATTCTCTATTAATAACTTAACATATAACTTCTATTAATATTAAATAAAAATATTATATATATATATATATATATATATATATATATATATATATATAAAATAAAATAAAATAAAATAAAATAAAATAAAATAACAGACAGAACACGTGTCCGTTTGAACGTTACTACTAATAATAATAATAATAATAATAAATTTCTTTTTCTTTTCTTCTTTTCTGTTCAACGAGAGAATACTACATCTCAGTTCACATGTTAATTGCACCTATTATATTTTTGATGATTATTAAAATACCTTTTATCTTTTACTTAATATTTAAATCAAAAGATATTTATGGAATAATATGTATTGATGGAATGATATAGGTTCAGAGAGATAGAGAGTTTTATGCATTTTTTTTGAGAAAAAATTGCTTTATAACTTTAAAAATGTTTTTCTTTTTTAATTTTATAAAATCACTTTTTTTATATAAATTGTGCTTATTAATCATTCGTTTATTATTTTTTAATTATCAAGCTATTAGTATTTATTTATAATTTGTTTTAAATCAAAATAAAAAAATCAATTTAATAGTTTGACCAAAATGTAGAAGCATCATATTTAAGAGGATGATGTAGAAGCTTCTTTAAATTTATTATTTTTTAATCAAAATAATTAGTAAATTTAAATTTTTGTTTCTTTTATCACAATTTTTTATGTTTAAAAATTATATTTAATTCATTTTATGTGAAATATATTCAAAATTTATATAAATAAACTATTTACAATGCGTTAACCATGTCAAATAAAAATTATAAAAAATATATAGTTACCTTAATAAAAAAATTAAAATAAAAATAAATTTTATAGTAAAAAGTTTTTTTTTTAAAGAAGATAAAGTTGTTATAAGGCAACTATTCAAAATTATTAAAATATGATAACTTATTCATTTAAAAAAACAATAATTTTAACTTTTTATTAATTTAAAGTTGTTATTAGGCAGTGGAAAAAAGTATTTGATCTCAATATAACTTAAAAACAGAATTCAAAAAGCATAGGAAAGAGAATTATATAGAGAGAAAACTAGAATTCATATCTCAAGTTGTTCAAAATATATAGTTTAAGGTAAATAAAATAGATAGCGCATGCCTCTGAGTATCAGAAAAAATACAAGTAGAATAAAAAAGAAACAACAAAATAGAACACAAAAGAAAGTAGTGTGAAAGAATAAACAAGAAATAAAATTAAACAAAAAAAACTCTTTTTTGAATTCTGAAATTAAGATAGGCGAAAGCGAGCACCTCTCATAAACCTAAACTTGAAATTATATTTTTCAGGGGACAATATCGAATGTGATACTTCAGTAACAGGTTCGTCAAGATAAATCAAAACCCACACAATAACAAAAATTAGATGAAAGAGCAAACAGGTAATAAAAACATAATCAATTGATAATCAAGTTCGATGCAACAACACCTACATCTAAAGCATTGAGTCCACAACCTAAGAAAGGAGATTCAATATTAGTACCTTAGTACAATTAGACTTACAAGCAATAACAAACTCTATGTTATTTAATGCATCTTCCTAACAATACCCAATGACTTTCTATTTAGAGCCTCCCTAAATATGAGAATCTACTCACTTTCTTCTCTACCACACAATTTGTGATAGGGTATTACAACTCAATAATCAATGTTGAATACTACCATTCAACTCTATAAAAACCTTTTATGTCAAGTTATTGAAACATAGAGGTGTGCATACACTAATAACAAGGACTAAAAAATAACCTTATCATTCTAAATTTTCAATGTATTGATTGACTTCTAATGAAAGTTTTGAACTCTTTATATAGCATAATAGCTATGGGTTTTTCTTCATGGATTTGAGATTGAATTTCGTTCAGAATTAATGCAGGTTGGATATCATTTTTTCCATAAATATCTCAACAAAATATGACTTGTTTCAATTTAAATTCATATTTAAATCTTCACTTAAATCTGAATGAATCTTCGTTCGGGTGTCAAATAAATTACCTAATTATATTGACAATCCAATTAGCAATAAAATAGAAGTGAATCTTCTCAAAAGATTCACCAAAAATACAACAATCTGGCGCTTGTTGAGTAAGGCCCAAATGTCGTGCCAACATGTTGGAGCATTGCGCCCAGCATGTGTCTTTTTTACAGCTTAAGCAAGTTAGATCAATCTTGAAAACTTTGACAGTTCTCCATGTTGTTGTTATGATAAATGCAGACAATCCAAAGGGTCAATCCAATAGGAACTACAAAACTCATTTATCACCTGCTGCTCAATAACCCCGAAGTATTGTACAGGTGCCAAACGTGAGGTCTCCTGACTAATGATAGGAGCAGTGAAGAAACTACCTCCGGCGGAATATGAAAAAGTGAGGAGACATCATCCAATGTAATTGTCATTTCACCAAATGGAAGATGTCTCCTTATGCCATCGCTCAACAAAGGTTTTAATAGCTAACCATCGAGCATGGTAAGCGAACAGACCGTCAGTGAAAGGAAACTGCACTCCTCGACTATCACCTTCAATTACGATGGCATCTAGACATCAAAGAACTTATCCAACTTCAACCCATGGGTGAACACCTTAAGTGGAATATGGTTCTATAACAAACAAAGTAAAAAATCATCAGTTAATTTCAAAGTATTATTAATAAATAAAATCACATCATCGACATATAATATACATACCTCTCTCTGTCTTAATCTGAATGCCACATGGTTCGCATATCTTGTGAAAATAGAAGCAATGAATTTGTGTGTATAGACGGTCTGTCGAAGCAGAAGCAATGACATTTGTCTCATGAGAAGTAGTGACATATGTCTCAATAGGAGGAGTAACCTTCATATCATCACTAGTTGGCACCTCAATAGCCATATGTGGAGTAGGCTCCTCAATAACTATCTTCGGAGTAACCTCTATAGTAGTTATTGCCTTTGTCTCAGGTGGATAGGACACCTCTACCATCTCAGAAGTACGGGGCACCTCTGCCTCCAGTGCTTGAACATCACCGGGATCATCCTCATAATCTCACATCCATCCAGAAGCAAATCTAGATATTATACGTCATATATTGCATGGTGCACGAAGCTGAGCCTAACCGGCCAGCCGCCTCATGTGAGAACTAGTCGGTGTCACTCTCCCCTCCCGGAGATGTGATTCGTCAATGTCGTCTCTCCTTTCTCGAGCCCTCGTAACAACAACTTTATTACGTTGTCTATCGACCATCTACGCCTCTGGTCTTCACTGTAAAAAGTAAAAAACAATTTTTTTTTAAACTATTGGATTTTACAACAAAAAAATGAAATTTATGGAGTTACTGGATGTTCAGAATATCCGATAAAAATATAGTTTTTTTTAAAAAAAATGCGGTTGAACGTATGAATTTTATCCAGAAATTTTTAAAATGTGAAAAAAAAGTGTTTTTACCAATTTTTTTTTAAAAATCCAAAAATATTTATGTTTTTTTAAAAATCCAAAAATATTTATGCAATTTTCAAAAAATCCCAAAAATTGTGCATTTTTTTAAAAATTCAATCGAATGTATGAATTTTTTCTGAATTATTCAAAAAATACAAAAAACAAAAAATCATTACATTTTAACCAAATATTTTCAAACAATCGGTAAAAATCCAAAAAAAAAAATATAGTAAAACCACAAACTTATTTGTCATCAAATAAAAATATTCGAATATCCAATATTGTCTGTAAAATGTGCAAAAAAATTACAGAACTTCTCAAAAAAATCGAAATGGATGGTTAAATATAGACTTTATTGATTTTAATATGTAGAAAATACATGTAAGTTTTGTTGTAAGAAAAATAGATCAAATGGAGTTAAACTACCAACAATTAAGGAAGACTTGGAAAAAGTATTAACAAAAACTATAAAAAGAAGTCTCAAAATTAAAGAATTAGATAAGTTGATAATTTTGATATAACATTATAACAAATTTGTTACATTTATTTGTGGTTTACCTAAAATAAGCATAAATATCAAAATAGTCATAAGTAAAATTAAAATCATAAAACATATTTAAATAGATGTATTTTAAAATAAAGTACATGATTTGTTAAGGATAGCATTTTCATATTAGAATATTTAAAATAGAACTCAATTTTTTAATAAATATGCATGAAATATTTAAAAACCAACATTTACAAACTTGAACAATAATGACATGCTATTAAATTGGAAATAACTACATGACATGACCCAGAAAACGATAAAAGAAATCATTTTAAAGTTAGGCCATCACCCAGGAAGACCATTTAACGATCTAAACAAATATAAATGAAAATCATGTCTAAGGATCTCTTGTGTAGCCTAAGCAGATCTTTTTTGTGTTTCAATCTTAGAGATATGATGGCATCAATTTTAGCTTAGAATAAGTAGAGCCAACATCTATCAGAATGGTGCTTGCACAGTACAAAACAAAAGAAATCTAAAATCATGTATCCTTCGGGGGAGCTTTCTTTGCGGCCTCAGCAGCAGCTTTCTCTGCTTCAATCTCAGCAACAATGGCGTCAATTTCAGCTTCCTCCAGTTGACGCAGACCATGCTCCTTGGTCATCACAGCAACTTCAATGTTCTTGCCTCCACTCTCAACAACCTAATTACATATGCCGGCAAGGAAAAGCCAAATGTTAAGTATTTATCAGATCCAGTTCCAAATGACAAGTTACTAGCCAATAATAGTACTACAATTATGCAATAGGAATGGACAAAATTACTCTATCCATTATGATAGTATTAGGCAGTTTATTTTATTAAATATTGTATGTTCAGTAACTGCTATGTAACTGCTGTATGTAGTCAGAATTATAAATAAGGCAGTGCATTGCTAGTTGGGACAAGGATAAATGTTCATAAAACTCGCAAAGCTGAGGTCTTGAATGTTGGATGGTTATATCTTCCAGATTTTGTGAAATAAAGGTGTAATGATGGTATAAATGTGAGGTAAACTGATGACCATGTTAATTGTTCGTGTCGCCCTAACAAGCATTTTTCTTATAAATATAGGCTGAAAAGGAAATGGGATGGCATTAGGTATTTTGTATGTTTGTTGGTTTGGGAGAGACTAGGCTCTAATTCCTAGAGGTTGCTTTATTTGTTCAATTGCTGATTCTAAGTTGTTTGTATTATTTGTCAATTCAATAATTGACTTGCAAGAAGTTATATCAGCAGGCTTTGTTCCTTTGCTCTTTAGTCTCTATTCCTATCCTTTATTCAGATATTCATCATAACCCCAATATCTATTACTGGTGTAGTACCGGTTCTCTAATATAAGATTTGTGCTTTAATCTTATTCAAATGAAAAATATTTAACAAAGGAAAAAGATATGTGTCTAGATTGAATTATCATTTGACAATTTGTTATGTTCATGTGTACAAAAATAACTGTGTTGATCAAGAATCAGAAAGAGATAAGATATCAAACAAATGAAAAAGAGGAAAACTTAGAGCTATAAAGGCCCAGCCCTGCCATAGCAGGATTTAGGGAATAGTCATACCACATTATGGGTCAATTGTTGGAAATTTTACCTTATATTAACATAGTATAATTACTCATCTAAACTAGTGGAATACTGAAACCCAGATTAAGCAAATGAATATCTTACAATACATAGGTAGCTTATCCTAAACTTCCACCTAATTTGCAGTTAAATGCTTTTGTTAAGGTCCCTCCCAAAACATAAAGAATTTCTTCAAAAGTCTAACTCCTAGGTCATTGACAGCATTAAAAGAGTAAGGGAATGGATATAGGTGTAGGGCAGATAATGTGTATTGATATCTTTCAATACACAACACCTATATATTCAGAAAGGAAAAAAGAAATTACCTATGTTGCGGTAAAGAACCTATATAATTGATAGAATCAGATACTATTTCTTTAAAAAACACAAGAGAGAACAAATTAACTCACTTCAAGCAATGCCCGGATAGCCAACTTGACAGTTTCCTGCCCAGAAGTTTCTTTAAAGTTCTTCTCTAAAAACTCACGGATTGAATTTGAGTTTCTTCCGGTTGCATTAGCTTTCCAAGCTGAAAATGTGCCAGAAGGGTCTGTTTGGTACAGGGATGGTGATCCTGTGTAAGGATCAAATCCAACAATCAAGGTAGAAAGCCCAAAGGGTCTTACACCACCACTTTGTGTGTACTTCTGCTGAAGACCTGCAATGTAACGGGTTATATACTCCACAGTGCAAGGATCCTCAACGGTAAGCCTGTGACTTTGACATTCAACTCGCGCCCGGTTAATAAGGACACGTGCATCGGCTTTGAGTCCAGCACATGCAAGAGCAATGTGATCATCCAAATTAACAATCTTCCTCACTGATCTGCACAACAAAAGTAAAACAACCATAAAACCTCCATAGCATCAGTATAAAAACAGAAATTTTTGAAGAATTAGTAATGACTATGCACTTTTTAAAACAACTCTCATATAAGCTAAAATTTGTTAAAGCATCTCAAAATTTTCAAAAGTCATCTCATATAATAATAGATTCTAATTCTAAATACCTATAAGTTTGAAGAAGATTTTTTTTGCAAATGAAAAACTATAATTTTGTTCTAACACTGAAACCATTGTAACTTGTGAGCTATAAACCAATCCAAACTAGATCTGCATTCACAACAACACAAAGATTGTAAAGTCCTATATTTCTATTCATTTACTAAAGAGGAGATAACAAGTCTTGCAAAAAAAATCAGCATCCATGAAATTAATCACAGAACTGCAACATTAAACACTTAAGGGTTCGAGGCTCACAACAAAATCATAGCAATCTCAAAATTACATGTACAATTTACTATTACTGAGAAAAACAACAACGAAAAACAGCAGAAACATTGATACTTGGAGTTTCAAACGATATTTCCATAGGATAGAAACTGCATAAAGTGCCGATCAAGCTTTAACCCTAGGATCCTAAATCTATGATCCAATTCGAACAAAATCATGGAAAAGTAAGATTAATTTTGATTTAGCATAAAACAAAATTGAAAAAGTGTGAAACCTAGAGTCTTGGAGTTTTGCGGTGGATTTCTTCTCGACGCCGAGAACGACGTTGTCGGTACCGCGAACACCAACGGCGGCGTTACCTTTGCGAACGGCTTCGAGAGCGTACTCGACTTGGAAGAGATGGCCATCGGGTGAAAACACTGTGATCGCTCTGTCGTATCTCGCCATTTTGATATTCTTCTTTCTTCTACTTTTCCGATTCAAACAAAACCTATGTGACGAAGCTTTCTCTTTTCTGTTTTGTGAAGAAATGCACTGTGATGAAGTGTTGTTGACTGTGAACCTGCTTGGACAACAAGCAGCTCAATCTTGTTGGGCCGGTTGGGCCTGGTAATATCAATACTTAAATTGAATTACTTTTAACACCTACTTTTTCTTCTAATATACTTTCTCTTTCTTCTTTTTGTTTTCTCGTCAATACGATTACGTGGGTTGAGGAGATAGAATAGAGTTTGTGTTTACCGTAAAAACTAAAAAATATCCACGGGTTCCACAATATTCGTTACTGCTATTTTAATTAAGAAAATAAATCGAAAATTGCAATATTTAGAAATATAAATATATTATATTATATTATAAGTAATTATTAATGATTTGGTGCAGTGGTGCCTCCTCCGATGGGTTAGATTTGCTTCAATTGTGAAGTGTTTGGGACTTTTTCGAGATAGCCAAAGGAAATGGTTCGGTAGCTTTCATAAACCTATTGGAGCTTGCAATAGTTTTTCTGCAAAGTTCTGGCGTATCCTATGGATTTGGAATTCTTAAGTTGACAATATGACATTTGTTGATTCTCTGCAATGGTCGATTATGGAGCTTAGGCAAGGTTTTACATTGGTTAGATAGGTGTATTCTTCTTCTCCTTAAGCATTTCGAACATGTGCAGTTTAAGCACATTTATAGAAAGTTAAATAAGTGTGATGATTATTCTTAGGATGTTAAAATAAGAATTCTAACATTTTTAAGAAAGTTGAAAATTTTAAACTATAAAAAAGACAAATAAAATTAAGAGAGAGATAAAACTAAACTAATAAAAATAATTTTTATTTGATTTTTTTATGTTTCTCAAATAAGACATTACATTTTAATATATCGAACTTTAAATATGTCATAGTCATCCATGTGATACAATTTTAAGAACTACAAAATTTTTAGAATATAATACTATTTAATTATATTAAAATAATTATTAAAATATCTAATCAATAATACTTTCTATTATTACTATTTGGTCCAAATAAAACTTTGTCCTCAAAGTTTGTGATAGACCGAAAATTATCCCACGAAGAATTTGCTGATGTGGCATGTGAGTGTGGAAAGTTAGATGTGCATGTGGTAATTAAATTGAAGGAAAAGCTGGTCTACCGTTAGAATAATCAAGGCATATTTTCTTCTGTTTGAAGTGATGTCGGGTTTAAAGGTGAATTATCATAAAAGTGTTTTAGTGGGGGTCAATGTATCTCAGAGGTGGGTGGAAGAAGCTGCTAACATTCTTCAATGCAAAATATAAAGTATTCCCTTTATCTACCTTGGATTACCGATCGACGCAAATCCCAACAGAATTGAAACATGGCAACCGGTGGTAGAGCGGTGAGATTAAGATTATCAGGTTGGAAAAGGAAACAGATATCGATAAGAGGTCGAGTAGTGATAATCAAATCTGTCTTGCAAGTGCTTCTACTCTACTTTCTCTCCTTTTTTAAGGCTCCGATAGGTATTATATCTCATATCGAATCTCTTTTCAAACAATTCCTTTGGGGTGAGAGTGAGAGTGAGAGAAAAATAAACTAGGTTCAATAGGATAAAGTGTGCAGGCCAGTTAACGAAGGGGCTTAGGTATTAGAAATTTGAGAGATTTAAATAGGGCTCTTCTAGAAAAATGGGAGTGGAAATGCATCTTTGAGAGGAAAGGTCTATGGTATAAGGCTTTAGTTAACCGATATGAGGCGAGAGTTGATGAAACAGTGGGTAAAGGTAGATATAGTTCTAATTGGTGGAAGTGTATTACGAATCTCAATTTAGGTGAGTGGTACAATGAGTCAGCTTATTCGGTTAAGGAAGTGCATAAGGGGCTGATGTCTGTTAGCTCCTAAATTCGACACCCCTTGTAAGTTAAGACATTTAAGAGAAAGTATTAGAATCTTGCTGGAGGTGAGAGCTGGTCGAAAAGTATAAAGGCCTTTGAGGAAGAGGAGTCGAAACACTTGCAAGACTTAAGGAAACTCGTGAGGGCTTCGACCGTGACGCTGCTTGATAGTTATCCCAAAGATTTGAAAATTCAAAAGAATTGGAGGGAGTGGTTTCGTTCGCTGGATGACTAAGAGGACATGTGGCGCCCTGTGGGTGGCCGACCAATGCATCACGAAAAGTGGCGGAGAAATAGGAAGTCTTAGACGTAGAATTAGTGTGTTGTAATTTACTGTTGTACAAGTCACTCTTAAAATTACTCCAAGTATCCGAGTGTAGAGAAAGAGAGTATCAAAGAGAATGTACGTGATGTAAACACACCATCCTTTACTTTCTAATGAAGTTTATTTTACTTGTTTAAACTTTACGAAGCTTTCTTTATCTTTCTTGTACTCTTCCCCCTTTTCTATGCATTTTACTTCGTCCTCATTCTCAACCTCTTTTTTCAAAAAGCTTTTATCTTTTCCTCGCTGTAAACTTTATCTCCTTTTTCTCTTATAGTCGAATAGATACTTTTTAGAATCTTTCACTCAAAATTGTCAAAGTATGAAACTTAGATAGATTTCCAAAGAAAACCTTTTTAGCACATGTCCTAGGATCAATCTGATCGATCCTGTGAGTCACTAAAGTTAAATTTGGAAGATCAGCGGTTGTTTTTCAATTTTCAAGGGAAACAAAATGGCACGCCCAGTGGGACAGTGCTAAAAAAGAAATTCCTTCATATAATCAAAATTTGCAGAAAGTACAGTCCTATTGGTCCTTTCGTGAAAAGTGCATTTTATGTTATTGAGAAGTGGTAGAATTACCGCTATAAACGAAGAGAAACTAACAAGACGATACATTAGGAATATGGCGACAGATGCAAATCAACCAAATAATCCTAACCCTCAAGGAGACGGTTCTAGTGAAAGAGCAGGGAACGACGTAGTCCCGCCTTCGATACCGTCAACAAGAGAATAAATGGCGCATCCTGTGAGGCCAGAACCAACACCCTCAGTACTTGGGACTGGGTCAACCATAATAAGACCTTACAGTCAACCAGTGTTGGAATATATTGGACCTCAGGTATCAAATCCTCAAATGTCATTGGGAGGAAGTTCGACTTCTAGACAGTTTGCTCCTCTCGGGTTTTCGCAGTCACCAAGAAACCCCCCGTATGGGATGCCCACAACTGTAATGCAAGGGCTCCAAAATGTGCCCCCTATATTCTCAGATAACGCAATGGCTTCGCCATTACAAGGATCAGGGTCTGGCGTGAACATCAGCCGAAATCGCCAATGTTCGAGCCTAAGGTATTCGACACAAGGCCCTAACTTGACCAATACCTCTGTTGCGTGTTTAAGACAACAAATGGATGAAAGCAATTTGCAAATGGTTCAGACTTTGTCCCAAACCATGGGTGAAATATTTCAACCATTAATCCAAAACACGAACCACAATAATAAACAGTTAGCAATACAATTGACGCGATTGGCTGAATTCATGGGGGTACCTCCCCTGGCTAGGAATCAGGCCCCGGTAGCAAACGTTCCACGACCAGACTTGGGACACCAACCCGCAGTGGAGATCCAGGGAGGGATTGGTCATCCCGTAGTCAAACCACCTAGGGTCGAACCGTTAAGGGAGAAGGCTCATGCTCCAAGGGAAAGAGACCCAGAAGTAATTATAGTGAATCAAAACCAGGACGCAGACAATGTCATCCAGCAGGTTCGACGCAATAATGTGGCTGTCGATAATAATCTAGCAGCCATGGTCGAAAGAATTATGGCTCGAAATGGTTTGAACACTAGGTTCACCCGGCCAAACTACACCTCTCCAATAGTGGATTATATCCTTCAGGCGGAGTTGCCTCCTAGAACGAAAGTACCCAAGTTTACTAAGTTCTCAAGAGATACGACGGAATCCACTGTCGAACATATGGCCCGTTATCTAATTGAGGCCGGAGAGATAGCAAATGACGAGAGTCTTAGAATAAAATATTTTCCAAGTTCTCTCACTAAAAATGCCTTCACTTGGTTCACAACGTTATCCCCCAACACGGTGTGTAATTGGACCCAGTTAAAGCGTTTATTCCATGAACAGTTCTACATGGGCCAAACCAAGATTAGTCTAAAAGAACTCGCTAGTGTGAAGCGTAAGTTTTCTGAGCCAATCAAAGAGTACCTTAATAGATTTCGATTACTTAAGGCCAGGTGTTTCACACAGGTCCCTGAACATGAGTTGGTTGAGATGGCCACTGGGGGTCTTGACTATTCCATTAGAAAGAAGTTGGACACCCAGTACCTAAGGGACATGGCCTAACTGTCCGATCGAGTTCGACAACTGGAACGACTTAAAGACGAAAAGGCTAAGTTCAATAAAAACAAAAAGGTAACTTTTGTCGAATTCAATGAAAATATCAAAGGGGTATGCGATGATCCCTTATACTTCGACGAAAGTGAAGTGGATCTTGCTGAATTAAAACAAGGTCCACCTTATTCTTGTAAAGTACTGGCTCCCCCACAAGGGAAGAATTTTGTCGAATATGAAAAGAATGATAGGTTTCCAAAGAAAACATATACTTTTGGTATCACTAAATGTGATGAAATCTTCGATTTGTTAGTAAAAGATGGGCAAATGGTAGTGCCACCTGGTGCTAAAATATCGTATGTAGAACAAAGGAAGAAAAGAGGGTTTTGTAAATACCATAATTTTTTGGGCCATAAAACGTCTCAATATTTTCTTTTTAGGGATCTCGTTCAAAATGCAATTCAAGAGGGACGTCTGAAATTTGGGGAGAAGGCCAGCAACCAGATGAAGATCGACACAGACCCCTTGCAGATGGCAGATGCCCATTATACAGAATCATTGGAAGTCAATATGGTTGAAGCTACTGACGACTATGATTTTTCGATCGACATGGTAGAGGTTACTAAGGATCTCATGGATGGGGCTGTAATGGCAAAAGTTATCATGGGTTTCGGACAAGAGGACTGTGTAAAGAT